CGTGAATTTTAAGACCGAGGAGCTTCCATTTCGAGGAAAGAATTTTGCAAAATTTCCTTCGATTTCGCAAATGTAATTTACCGATGTTTTCTAATTATATTTTGCATATTCTATTTATATTTTGCTGTCGATTTAGATAGATAGTCGGATTTTTGCCGAACGTCGGTATTTAAAATGATAAAAAAGGTAGTAGCTACCCCCTTTTTGCTCTGCAAAGCTATCAAAAATCCTCGTAATAGAGAGACCGCGTATCCGAGTCATCGAAAAGTTTAGCGCTACTGGAAATTCATCCAGCTTCGATCCAAGCTATCCAGCGGCTCTCGGTCGCGCATTATCTCGAAAGCGTGCGACGAGATTTATTAGACCGAGTGAAATCAGTCAAACAACCACGCCATGCTTCGCTGATTTTCAAAGTCTTTCTCTTGAAAATAGAAGCTCCATAAACGATGCGCTTATCCCGCAGTTTTTAATTCCTAGCCGCGTGCAGAAGCCGCATCGCTCGTCACTCGAATTTATCCAAATTTTTTCGTTCCGTCCACGCACGCGAAAAAGGAGAAGATAAAAAAGAAGAGGCAACAAAAAACCAATAAAAAGGAAAAAATAGGGGAGGAAAATATATCGAAAATTTGTACGAATCGTAAAAAATTGTTTGGATTCTCGGTGGTTCTGCATGCGAGTTGCACGTACACACGAGCAAATGGTCGTCTCGAAATACGTTGAAATACGTTATCTCCGGCGGACATTACGTTTCGCGGTCGCATGGTGAATTATTTTCGCGTGGCCCGCCATGCGGAACCTTCCCACGACTCCGAGTACTCGTGTAGCCGCATGTTGCATCGCGATTCGTTGCAGCCGAGAAATTCCACGTTTCTCCGATCGACCAACAGCGTCGCGACGTTCTTGTTAACCCATTAGCTGCCATAATCCCCGCTGTCACGTCTCTGTACACCGTAATATCAAAATTCGTTCGAACATCCCGAGTAACATAACCTCAAATCGAAATCTCTCTTCCTAACCTCAAATCGAAGTCGAGAGATATACACGCGTATTTAACGCGTGATATCTCGAATCGTATCTGCGTCGAGTTTTCTGGAAAATCGGTGAAAATTTTCCAGAAAATTCAAGAAGCAATTGGCAGTTAATGCGTCGATGCGCGCGCAGACTTAAGGCTGGTACGCACGAGCCACGCTATTTCGCAATGCGAAATACTTCGCGTGAGCGTAGATTCGAGTGTTACGCAATCGTGAGCACTGCATCATTGAAAACGTTAACTCGACGAATCACGATGACGCGTCGCTCGTCTGCAACCAGCCTTAAGGTCGCCGTTTGCGTATCAGCATACGGGCTTTCCTCCTGTCTGCAGACGGTCTGCGGCCAGTCCGTGTAGTGGCGTAAGATATGCGACACACGATGTTAAGGGTAGGAGGACAATATAGATCGCCGTATGCAAAGTGTCTGCAGACAGTGCTAGTCTACGCGTGCTTCTAGTCGCTCTTGGCAAATTCGGAGAGGCTAGGGATATCTCTAGCGTGGTAACTCTTGAAGGATTAGGTGGTTTGGTGCTCCGTATCCGGGACTTACGAGTACCTTGAAGGATCGTTGTTTATTTCAAGTTTCATTTGCGAGTTAAAGCTCGTCGAGATACGTTTTCTCGCGGAAAAATTCGTAGTCTCGTGCAAAAGTAATCGAATACACGAACAATTTCGTTCCCCGTTTCGTTCTCTTTATACGCTTATTCTTTGCTTATATTTTATACTGGCTACATAGACTGAATATTTTTGTGACCGAGAAATATCGCTTCCTTTCTTCTCTTTAACAAATTTCAAGATAATTCAGCTTCATTTCGGTCCCATATTTTTCGTAGTTACTTTAAATACCCGAATGTACCTTACGACCAATTGATATTATCAAAAATCGGTCTTGCTTAAAGTCATTTATTTCTCTCATCTCTATTCGGTTACCTCGATAATCCGCAGTCTCACGTTTAGTCTTTTACGTTCCCGAAACGGTATCTTCCAATTGGTCAGGAACTAGCCAACATAGAAACAGTGCAAAAATCCGCAATCATGACTACGAGCACCAATGTCGCTTATGAGCACCAACAGAATCACGTCACCTAACTCCTGCAAGAATGGAAATCTCGTTTCACCGTCTCCGAATCGAACATCCCGATACTCCGAACGATAAGCAAGAATATCGAATACTCTACCCCGGAAACATTATAGAAACGACTCGATGAGAATGCATTACCGATAGGAACGAACTGGAAACGTGCCGGAAACGTGCACGCGTAATCCGCATACGTGCATCCCCAAAATTCGTAGACGTCTTCCGGCGCGTACGAACGCGTGTAATAAACTCGAGCATAGCAGCAGCTGTTCGCGAATTCATACGTGGAAGTTCGTGATTCGCTGTGTAACGAGATTCCGCGGGCTAATTATGCGAAACGCGGAGAAAGCACTCCTATCTCTCTTCCCGTCGCGTTGACGCGCTCGATTTCGCTCGTTTCCGCTCGGAGTCTTCGACGACCGGCGATGTCTCGATGGAAGGACTAAAGGACAGGGGTAGAGGGTGGAATCGAGGTCGATTTAACCCCGAAAAAGAAGGCTTCGGGTCGAGAGAAAACGCGGCGTGGATGACGAGGCCAGGTTCGACTCGCGGTTTCTATGCTCGCGGGCTATTTCGGCACCGAAGAGCAAATCGATACGGACACGTTGCGTCAGATACGGACAACTGACGTCATATCCAGTTCATTCATATCCAGCGCAAGAAGCGTTGGCCTGCAGCTTCGCTTCGCGACGTGAATGGCCGGTCTGGTGCAGTTCGGGGTGGCTTCACCCCTTTGCGATTCTTATTTCCATCGATGTCGCGCGTCCATCCTATTTTCTTCCTTGGCTTCGTGTCCTCGCTGCTATTCTTCACCTTCCGATCCTATTGTCAGCTTTCGAGATTCTAAAAATGATTTTCGTTTTTTAATAGAGTCCTTGACTTCGTGAAATAATAATCTTTTAAAAGAGAAATAAATTATTCGAGTATCAAGCGGTTCGAGGTATTTTTGACAGTACTCGTTTTGATTTTGAGATGATCGAAATATTAAGGAACGAGGATCCAGATTTTAAGAAATTTGAGGACTAAGAGCGCAGTCTTGAAATATTTAGTCGAAGACGTGAAATATTCGCGTAGAATCGTAAAGGGGTAAGTGGAGCGAAGGCAAAACGTTAATTAACACCGAAATCGGAATGGCGGGATTTTTGCAAGCGCATCCAGGCCATAGTGCAATGAACTGGAAATGACAAATCTACCATACCCCGCTCTGGAAACAATTACGCGGCTAGGAATTTAAGAGAACGATATGGGTCAACGCCGAATCAGCCGCATTTCCTCTCTCTCTGTACAGTGCACGCGTTCTAACGCGGCCTTAACCCTCTGTATCCAAAGAAGAATCACTGTTGCGTCCCGAACACTGCAACTCTCACGGTGGCAGTTTCGCGGGATCGTAAGGCCCGTTTACGTGGATGCGACAATATTGCAGAGATGCAACCTACTCTAAATTAATAGAGCTTGACCTGGTTAGGGGTGAACTAAAGAGTTCTGATTGATTGTCGTGGGTCTGTGATGTTTGTCTTGTCTTCTTGGGATTTTTAAGAGAACTCCTTCGTGACTGCTGTCTCGGTGGTTTTATAAGTTTTGTGTGTCTACTGATTGGTTGGTGTGTGTCTTCTTATTGGTTGTGAATAATATCGGGGATGTTTGTTAGCTTCGACGCCTTTCTGTGGTGGTGGATGTTTAAATACTTTGGGTCCTTATGCCTATCGTCTTAAGGGTAATTTATTGACCCTCGCTAGGGTTCACTCAAGTGGTGACTAAGTGATAACGAGTGTATACGAATTAAGGGACGCTGGCAATAAGGACGTAAAGAGTCCTCCATTTAGCTTGGGACATTCGATCTTGGGACCGCAACAATCACGATTCCCGCAATATTTTTTCTTTTTCCTGGCCCAAAGTCTGATGACCATCGTGCCGCGAAAAGATTAATAACGCGATGGTAATCGGATGAAATGAAACGAAAGATAAGAAATGGACACGCGTGATCTCAAACTCACGTGACACCATAGAGGGTTAACGTTCTAACCGGCTTCCCATTCGTCAGTACATATGTCGAATTAATAGGAACTGGGTAAAAATTAAAAGCGTGAGCAAAATAAAACTGACCGTATCGCAACAGAGGTTAAAGGCTTTATTTAGGCTTTATTTTACTCGAGGGAGCACGTCTAACAGAGTACGTCTCACCTCGACAACTGAACCAGGATTTTTGGGCCTTCTTCCACAGTGGGAAAACTCTCCCACTACACGTAGACCCTTTCAGGCCACGTGATAAATTTCTTACGTCTACTCCAACATCCTCCCACCATTGAAATTGAACTACAATTTCTTTCCAATTTCAATAACTCCTCTCCACTCGTACCATTCTCATAAAACGCACACAGTAAAACAAGAAGAATGCTACTAAAATGAATCTAGCTTACAAAAGGCAATATTAAAATGAATCGTATTTTAAACGCTCTGGTGCATTCACGGTTCTTCCACTCCTCGTTGTTTTTACATCATGTGCCGGATCCACCTCATGTTCAGTTTGGCTCTTCTTACATTTAGACATCAAAGTTTCATTCGCACAGGTATCCTTATCATACGATAACTCTAACGGGTGTACACGTTGTATAGCTCGTACCAATTCTCCTGTGGCAGTCGTTAGTCGAACCACACGCTACCCAGCCATCTGCACCTTTAATAGTACCTTTAACTCGCGCTAACGTCAGTCTACGCGTTTCAAATTAATAAATCATTGCCGATTTTTATGTTGCGATTACTTTTGACTTTACTTCTCTGATGAGCTAGAGCTCCTAAATATCCCAGTACGGAATCTCTTTCTCAAGTCGTCTTTCAGTCTATATGTAAATCTCTTATTTAATTGACGAGTCTCAATTTTACCCAGATCTATCACGTCAACTTCCTTAATTTCTTGTAGAAACATGGACGATGATAAAGGCACGGTGTCGTAATAATTTAAGAGAACTGTGAACATCTATTCGTGATCTAGGCATCTCTTATTCAGTGTACATCTCAAAAATCGTTTCGATATACCATTTAGACGTTCCCAAAATCCTCCCCACCAAGCTGCCGCAGGCGGATTAAGAATCCATTCTATTTTTTCTGTAGCTACCGTTTTGGCTAACTTTTAAAAATCTGTACGATTAACACGTTAAACGCCACGCCGGTTTTACATGCGGTTCCGTTCACGGCACTGTTAGCCGCCATGCGGGCCTTTCGGGGCCGTATGGACTGGCGAGGCCTGAACCCTAGGGACCGGCGTGGCGTTTAATGTGTTAAGCATGTTACTTAGACATTCGTCCCATTGTCACTGTAGATAACAGCAGGACATCCTTGATACGACGACGCAAAGCCATCAAGAAGCTAGCCGTCGATAGTGAACTAATTCGAAGTGCACCGCTCTATAAATCGCACACGTAAATACACACAGCGTCCAACATCTGGAGCATTCCTAAACCATTCCTAGCCGTGTGAGTTAACACCGAGGCATACAAGTATCCAGAAACTGTTGAATTCGGATATGCAGGGCCATTCGTTGAGACAAATTCGTACACCGATATGATAAATATCTTGGAAGTCAAATCTCTCCCTTTTCGTAATCTGTTAAAGCAAACTTCAAGACAAACTGAGCTACATGTTTGGTAGCGAATCGCAGAAGCGTCATTGCAAGAAATCCGCTTAGTCTTAATAAGTCGCGTTCTTTGGAAGTAGCCCCCTTTTCAGCGCTAATGGAAGCAATTAATTCTGCTATCTTGGTTGGGTACGTCTCTTCTCGACAACTGACCCAGAATTTTTGGGTTTCCTTCCACAGTGGGAAAACTCACCCACTGCGTGTAGACCTTTTCAGGCCACGTGATAAATTTCTTACATCTACTCCACCAACATGCGTACGTGTATAATATCGAGCAGATGTGTCCAAGGGAGCTTGTCACGTATCGAGATGTTGGACGTATCGAGTGCTTCTTAAAACCGAATTAACAGCACTGCCTCCAAGAAATGTATATCACTGACATCCGCTGATTCATTTTTTGCCACCAGTCGTAGCTCGTAGCCGTAAGACGCACCTGTGCTAGTACCCGTAACCGTATTATCAGTATCGAGATATTTAGTGGCATTGATTAACACACCCTGGTACACACACAGACACACACGTACGCTGCAAAACGCACACGGTGTTCACGAGGAAACAGCGAACGAGCATCGCGAGCATGACAAGGTACGAGACTCGTTCCTGTTCCGCACGTGCGATACTTGGATGTTCCGTGCATTTTCCAATTTTTGTACATTTCTGGAAACAGAGATTCTATTATATTAAAGTTTCTATTATATTAAATCGGCATATATATCGTATCTGCTATGTTAAATAGCGAGGAGATCGGTGAGTATCTACAGAAAGAGATATCACGAGAGAAAGGTACTCCGAATTTTGAAAATTTGCAAATTTATTCCTGTTAAACGTCACGTTGGTTTTACGTTCCGTTCCGTTCACGCCATAGTTAGGTACCTTCTGGGCCGTACAGACCACTGAGGCTTGAACGGAAAGCCCGTCCCTAGGCACCAGCCGTCCCTAGGCACCATTTTTCGTGATTCGATTTTCAATTCTATACTTTTATTCAATTTCTCTGTTTTTATGTTCACCTAATTATCTCTAAATTAAATTTCCCGTGATTAAATTATAAATATGGTATAATTTCAGGCAACGCGCGAGTTTCGAATGCTTTAACGATACCAGTAATAATACACGTACATAGTTAATAACTTTGTATAACAATTCGCAACATCAAACAGATACGAATAAATAAATAAATAAAACGTAAAAATGGCGGATCCAGGTAGGAAGCATACTGAATAGAAGTATCGCACGTGTGGAGTCAGTTGTCGGAACAGTCGCGAATCACGAGACATTTCGCGAATTGCTTGGAACGGAGGCGAGGGAAAAGAAAGCAGTGAAAGCAACCGTGGACAGGCCCGCCATAACCGGAAGCATCGAGATTCGATGGAACCCCGGCAAATGGAGCGCGGTCGATGTCGACGTTTCCCGTAATGGCGTCGTGATCGGTGCATCAGTCCTGCTAGCATATAAATTGCTCGGTAATCGGGATAGAAAATCTTGATACACGCGAAACCGAGTCGATGAGCTTGCTTCGCCGATGCTCAGCTTGAACTTTGATAATTGGAAGTGGCTTCTTTCACCTTGTCTTTGTACCTCTAACAAAGCGTGTTCGTTAACCATCTGCCTCCGAGTCGTGGATCAAAGACGAATTCGAAACGGGATAGAATTTAAGAGCAGCTGGAGAACTCATTGCAATGACGAATTAAAATCGGATGCAAAATGGAATTTAGAAGTGCACGGTTTCTTTGTCGCTTCTTGCATAATTTACGAGCAACCTGTACGCTGGTTAGAAGAATCACGAGGCAGAGGGTTAAATTAAAAACTAAAATTACTAAACCCTGTGTACTTCTCCTTGCGAATCTTCCGTGCTTGTCCCCCGACGATCAGACCAGTCTCTAACGTCACGTCGCTTTTCTATGGATCGACGGAAGTTTTTCGAAGATAGCGTCACGATGCCTCGTCTCGCTGTTCGATCAGCGTCACCGAATCCTCGCCAAGCAACGACAACGAAACAAACGAACAAATAGACATTCACACGTACACACAGAGGCCCTTCTCTTTTGACCAGAGTACCGTCTGTCATAACTAACTAGAGCACGTATTGTACGCTTCTCTTATTTATGCACAGTTTTCCTGGTTTCTCCCGGCTTCGTATGCACACGAAGGGAGGGTCGCCAGTGGCCTTTGTCGAATACCAAGACGTTCGCTACGCGGCCCAGGCGATGGCCACTCTCCAAGGATCCTTTCTCCTCTCCTCCGACCGGGGAGCAATACGAATCGAATATGCAAAGTCAAAAATGGCCGAGGTGGGCTTTACAAATCTCTGGATCGAAGTAGGTTTCATTTTATGCTACGCTAGCCGCTACAGACACCGTGTGAACATCCCGACGAAAACGCAGCACCCTGTGCGACACCCTATCTCGATTCTTGTCCCCATTCTTCTCTCCATTCTTGTCTCGATTTTTGTTTCGACTTTTGCCTGCATTCTTGTCTCGACTATTGCCTCGATTTTCACCACCGTTCTTATCTCGATTCTTACCTCGATTTTTGCCTCCGTTTTTGCCTCGTTTCTCGTCTTCGTTGACAGAAAAGGCCCCCCGTAATCGCCACCACGCGTTTATTTTCGTTCTATCCCCCCGTTTTCTTTCGTTCTTCCGAACCCCGACTGAAGGGTGGCATCGGGATTTTCTTTATGGGCCTATCGATGTGTCCCTCCAGTCGATCCAGCCATCGTTCTCTGCCATTTGCATCCCCCCGTTTGCATCATTGATCCACCAAAGAGGAACCACCGACGATTCCAATGAGACTGCACGAAGCACAGATCTGCGTTTTCGTTGACGGACATCGCAGTATTACCGTGGGGAGTTGGACGAAATGCCTCTGGAAGGAACGAGGATCTTGTAGCCACTCTTTTGCTCCCTCTCCCATAGAGCGTAGGAACCATCGAGACAGGCTTGACCGGATGTGTCACTGTTGCTCCATTTGCTCTCCTGTCACGCATCTAGGGTGGCCTGGTGATCACGGTAGAGTCGGCAAGGGGATGATGATCACCCCGTTTAGGTGAGAGAAAGTTTAAGGTCAGGAGTAAACTGCCTAGCTTCGTTGTTCGAGACGAGAATAATTGTAATAATTGGCTCGACTGGATCTTGCCGGAGATCGATATTTCTGTATTTAATCTGGAGACCTGCGAATGTTTTGCTCTCTGTTATGCGAATGTTTCATCCCACCACGCTCTTCTGTCTAACTCTCCCGTACTCGACGTCTCCTCTCCCCTTTAAATCCCGATCAAATACAGAAATACGATTACGCGTGTCAAAAATCATCGCGTAACTAGGGATAATCGACCCAATTATTTTCCTCGGAAAACAACGTCTGCTGAAGGCGAGAAAAATTTACTCTTCGCCCTTCGCTATCTCTCCCTTCTCGCGGCAGAGGACTTCCGCTTCCCGAATGCTACCGTTTCACGGCCGACCCGTGCATTAATAGCATAACAGCACGTAATAACATTTGTAAATATTTCTCCACTTTCCCGATACTTCTCAGGGGCATTTTACCACAGCTCCCTACAGTACAGTGGCCTCAGCAGTAGACTCGCGGCCAATTAGCCCGCTGTTCGGTTGCAATCGATCGCAGCGCCACATTTCCGTCGTCGTCGGTCCAAGACACAGCGTTTCCGGTAGCAGCACACGCGTGTGTCGCGCGACGATCGATCGAGCGCGATCGATCCTCGATCGGAAACTCTAACTTTTTCTTCCTCTTTCTGCTCTGTTTATCCTCTCTCTCCTTTTTCTCTTTTTCCCCCCATTTTTTCTTTGTCTTTCTCAATTCTCCGGTCTCCCGTTCGAGGTTACCCGATTCTCTCTGCCGTGATTCGTCTATTCCATTCCGAATTCCGTTCTGTCCCGTCTATTCATCCGCCAGATTCCATTTGCCAGCTTCCAGTGCGTATCGGTGACGAACAATGCAACGCGGAGTGTTCCTTTCGAATCTTTTCACGCGACAAAGCGTCGCGATACTTCGAATAACCTTGGATGGTCCAAGGAGCGAGCACCTGAACGATCTCATCCCGAAATAGATCAGGACACGCGGGATAAAGCACGGTGATATATGGGACCAAGGTAAAAAGAGTAGCTCTACGCTGTTCAGAAAGACTGGAAGTTTCCAAGTCACCTTGAGGGAGTTTCGTTTATGACGGATCGTCCTCTCGACGAGATTCCTTCTCGGAAACGAAGCGATCTGGAAGAATTTCGGGACGAAAATGGCGCGCGAAGATCGTCACGGGAACACTCCGCGCGTACCTGTTACCTGTTCCCTCTGCCCTCCCTCTCTGTTGTCGATTTTCGTTCAGAATCTGCTCGGTCTTTCACTGTGACTTTTTTTTTCACACGCTTGAGATGCATAGTACTCGTTCATTTTTGCTCCGTCCCTGTCTGTTTTCTGTCATCTTTTACATTTCGTTTCCTGGACGTGATCTTTTGATATGCGACTCCCTTGCACCGTATCCGCGCTTTTCGCTCAGATCTTGTTGCTCGCAGCGAGATTCCCGGGGGAAGGTCGGATATCTGCGAATCGAATAATTTGCAGAAGGTAATGAAACGGGTGAAGCTCGAGAGTACTATCCGCTTTGGTACTTTTGCGAAACGAATGAGCGTTTGTTCGAGGACAGAACAATCTAATGAAACTTAATAATTAAAAGAATGTGAAACTTGTTTTTAAAAAATTGTCATTTTCAGATGGACGAATTTTAAAGCAATTGGCAGACTATAGACCCCCTAAAATTGCAAGAGAACGGAGAGACGCGTGAAATATATTTATTAATATATTTTGGAAATATTTTTTGAATTTTCGGGAAATAGACGAATATTATTTCGAATAGTCGATTAATCGCGAGATATAATTAATTATGAAACAAAATATTCCGCGACCGTCGCAGAAAGAACGCTTTATACTCATGAAGCAGGATTTATCGAGGAATCGGATTAAAGGAACGGAAAAGCCGAGCTACAGACGGATATACTTGTACGGTTCTAAAGCAAAGCATCTTGTTTTCACGGTGAGTTTCGCGATGAGTTCTCGTATCATCGTGCACGCACGATCTCTAGATCGCTCTCGATCTCTTCTCCGTTTTCTTTGTCCTCCGCGAACCTAATTTAACGGCATTCAACGCGAACCGATCGTTTATAACTCGAATATATAACGCATTTCTCGAGCAACTAACATTCGCGATATCGATATAAAGGATCCGTGATAACGGTAAAATGTAAAAATAAATAATCAAGAAACTCGTAAAAAGAAACTTAATTGTCGAATAAAAAATTATCGAAATGAATAATAAAATTTCCTAAAAAAAAAAAAAAGAAATAAAATGGAAGAGAGAAATATAGGTAAACGTAGTAGGTACGGTAACACTCTGAAACTAGAACTAGAACGTGCAACCGACAACCCGAGGAATATAGGTCGCGAAAGCAACACCTCGTCCTCGCGAAAACACGATTCGATCGGGCAGAAGCGGGTGTGTTGTGGAAAAAAGCAGGCCAGATTGGCCGACCTTCCCTCCGGTGAAATTAGAGGATCGATGGAATCTGCTTTTGGGACTGGGCAGCGTGGGACGAGACGCATCGTCGCTAATTCATTTCGCTTAACCGGAACGGAGACGCCTTGGCAGCGCGACGCCAAGACGGACGTGGCTGCTGAAGGAATATCCGATGCGATAGACCAACGTTTCTTCCTCTCTGTCCATCTCGTTATCCGTCTTCCTCCGTCTTTTGATCTCCTGTCGTGGACCAAAACGCGACGCGACCGTCCTGTATCTACCTTCGCTCCATCCTCAACCGCGATCCCTCTCTCCGCGCTGAAAGCGCCGCTGAAAAGAGATAATAGAGAAATGGAAGAAAAGGGAAAAATAGAGAGAGAGAGAGAGAGAAAGAGAGAGGGAGCTTTTCAGTCCGGATGCAGTCACGGCCTAATGAGGTACGTAAATTACTCAATGGCAAGGCGTCTCTTCTTCCTCCGCCGTGGGAAGAGGCACGTTCGCGGGAAAAGGGACGAAATGTAGGTTGTCTCTGGCTTTCGTTCCGCGGGACAATGACGGATTCGTTAAAACGCCACGACTAGACCGCGGTAAATCGGTAAACCCGCGACCAACGCTCGAAAACCGGATGTTCGCCGAGCGTTTATTTCTGCTCGCTCGCAGTCGCGATCATGGCTGATCAGAGAGCAACCGGCGTTGACAATCTTCTTCGGGATCGTCGGTCGAGTGTTTCCGAATTATCGAAATGACACGCGTGCACGGTGCTCCGAGGGAAAGAGGAATTTTTTGACAGCAGGATTTTCCAAGGACTTCGCGACACGTTGCGAAATTAATGGATCACGCTCGAGTAGGTGTCTCCGTGAGCGTTATGCTGGTACCATTATAGTTGTACGGTGTTCTTTTCAACGTATGACGAAACTCGTAGGCGTGATGTAACGTCCTTTCGTGTCGTTCTTTTTGAAATAAGAGATCTATACGTCGTATTAACTCGGGTGTTAATCTTTATTCGAAGGAATCAAAGATTCAAAGGAGATTTTGTAAAGCTGGAACTGCCGAAGGAGTCAAAAAAGATTTTAGTCTTTTTATCTTTGCGATTGTTACGACTGTGCAGTTGCTTTTACAAAATTAATATTGATTTTTATTGTTCTGCTTTGATTATCATCGATAATTTACATCGTGTTTAGGTACTCGATGCTGATCGGTAGCTCTAGCGTTAGAGTACTCCCTAATTTTATCAGGTGACAAATTTCACGATGCCGTGGTAAAAGTACTATGGGAAATGTCGATATTTCGCAATTTTTCTCAGAATCGTAGCACGTTCGAAAAAATGAACGACTCTCTCTTTCGAAAGCGCACTGCGTGTTGTCAGCCAGAAACGGAGTGGAAGAATAGGGGAAAAGATATCGGAAAGAAGAAGAAATTGGCCGATTCGGGCAAGCGGCTAGCCCGTGGCCACGCGATTCTCGGAAACGCGGCGATGTTCGATCGGCCAGCGAGCTATCCTCCCCGCGAGCTGTAAATCAACGAGGTGTCGCGGGCAAAAACCGTGAAAGTGGCGGAATGGTGACAAACGATGCGCGATGAGCGGTCGAGCGAGCGCTCGTTTCATACTTCACCCGTTCCGATTTCGCGTCGATCGAACGCCGACAACGATTTCGTATCCCTCGTCCTACTACGATTTTTTCTTTTCTCTCCCTTTTTTGCTTTCCACCGACGACTCGAGACGATAGACATGGCCTCGCGTTTCCATTCGTCGTGCCTCGTCTCACCGTCTTCTGTCGGCTCGAACGTTGCTGGAACGCTGTCCGAAAAACTTTTCTTTCAATCCCTTCTCCGAAGCCGTACGTCCATCGTTCGTAGAGAAACTCGGCGCGATCTGTCGAAGATCGGCCGAGGGAGAAATGCGTCGGAAGGTAAAGAATGGGAACATCTCGCGAGTGAAATGAGTCACCCGGTGTATTCGTGTTTCTTTCCGACTTTTCCATCGGCACCCATTAATCGATTCGATGATGCTTGCAGGGATCAAAGAGAGAAGAAAACGGGCAACCTTAAGATCGACATCAACGGCATGTAAGAGGAACGAGGGAAGACCGTGCGTGCTTACACCCCGGAATGCAACGATCGGCAATCGGATTCAGTGTTTTCGCAATAGTAACGGGGAAAACGTCGACAGACGAGTATTCCACGGCACCACGATTCCGCGGCAGCTGGTTTCCAGAGCGAATCGGCGACCAGTTGCTCGAGAAATCGTTGCGAAGACGGAAGAACCAAGATGGCGGCTGCAAGATGGCCGCGGGGAAGAACCGGAGCGAAAGACGCGTAGGACGGCTAGGGGTGGGGATGTAGGGAACAAAGAGGAAAGTAAAAAGCACGTAAACAGGAACGGAGAAAAGGAAATAGAGAAACGGGAAATAAGCATTCGAGTACATACACAAAGAGTAGTAAACAGACAAACACACACGCAGGAAGGAAAAGGGAGGAAAGATGGGAAAGATCAGGAATTAACAAAGACGAGACAGGGGTGTCTGTGTGTATGGTTCCAGCCTTGTCTCGCTTAAGCAGCACCACAGTAGGGAAGCGAAAATTGAGGAAGAGAAAAAAAAAAGAATTCTTATAAATTGCGCGGAGCAACGGCGTATTTAGATTCGCGACTCGCGCGGGGCCCAAAATAATCGCGTATATATGATATTCCTAGGTATATATATTTTTTAACGACTTAACTTATCGATCTATTTCGATTAGCCGTGTACTACCTTGTCTATTTATTTTCCACCGAGTCTTGATTGCGATCAACGACGACGACGAAGCGAGAGACACGAAAAACAAAAATAAAAAACAGAAAAAAAGTAAAAAAAAAAAAAAGATGGAAGAACAATGGAAGTACGAAGGAAATGGAGGAAAAACGAGAGGGATACACGAAGGAAAGAGACACAACAGAGACACACGAAAGACGGGATGAAACGGCGGAAGAACCGCGTCGGTGTGAACTCGCGCGGGGCGTCGCGACGCTCGAACGAATTTCCACGCCGAGGCGGTCACGCGTCGCGATTTCGACGCCCGTGACACGATTTCGTTTCGTACCACACGCATACACGGACACATCTGTGAAACGCATACATACATATATACATGTACACGCATACCGAAATTCATATATACATCATACACATATACGTACCATACGCGTAAGTACGTAGATATATACGTATTTACACATACATACGGAGAGAGGAGAAAAGCGTAAAGGCAGGAAGGCACTGTTGAAGTCACACGCGCACGCATATATGTAATACTTGTTCACACGTACACAGAGGAACACACAGAGTCCACAGTCGCGGAAGATTCTTTTAGGAAAATCGAGCCCCGCGCTGTTTTCCGACAAATTGTTTTGGCAAGAGACGACACGCGTTGAAAATTTATCGTAGCACACGCGTGACGCTGTTACTCCCGGAGAAACCGAGTAGTTTCGTTGTATGCAGCTTTTTTTAATCTGTTAACCGAGATACTCGGCGAACCGAGCGCGATGGTTCGCGGAGCTATCCGATTTATTCGAGCGTCGAGCTTGTTAAGCAAATGAATTTCTATTTTGCCGTTCCGTGTGCGTAAAACGAAAGCGATAAATGATAAGAACGGAGAAAAGTATAGAGAAAGAGTATCTATTTTACTTTTTTAAGCGAACACGATGAAAGCGATAAGAACGCCAAATCGTAGAGTAAAGGGAAAGCAATTTTCGCCAGTGTGCATCGTATTTTCCAGCATACTTTGCAACGTATTTCTCAACGTTTTAACTCCTTCACCTGCGAGCTACGATTCGATAGAAATAAATAACACAGTTTCATTCCAACCCGCGAAATCATGGACCACCGAATGTAATAAATTTCCTCTCGCGAAGAAAATCATAAAATTTGTTAAACATCGATCCGGTAGATCGTGTCGGTATGAAAGGAATAGACGATGTACAGAGAGAAAAGCCCAAGCTTGTGTTAGAAAGATCTAGAGGCGTATGTAGTTGAAGCAGAGTACTTCAGGGATACTTAAAAATGAAATTCGCATCGAAAGTAACCTCTTCTTGAAAGTAAAAAGACGAATTATATATTACATAAGGTTCGAAGATTTTTATAATCCGACCATCCATCCGTCTCCCGGTTAACAGATTAAAATCATGCGCTCGTGCGGAAGGTCGAAATCGCGGACTATGCCGATACTCGCGATCGCGTGGATCTCGATTCGAATCGAGGCATTTGTTATTTCACGTTTCGCGAGCGAATCAGCAGCGGAGCCGAATCGCGTGCGTTAATTCCGAGACAACTAATTCGACGGAGGCGTGACACGCGTGCACACGATCCTCGATCCACGATCCGCGTGTGCGATGCGGCTGAAAACGGAACGAAACGAAATAGCGAAGACAGACGCGGTGGCTCGTAGACGAAATTGCATAATATAGAGATACAAAAGAGACGAAGACGAGTACATCAAGCTTAATACCAAAGGTGCCCTAAGAAGCGTGTATTTATGTTTTATCATTGGCGCGTCGCGAAAAGGCGAGCATATACATTTAATTATGTATCTTGTTAAGGAGAGTCTAATATCCTAGACGAGAATGGCAATGAACGAGTGCGTGAATGCGATGTGCGAGTGAGAACGTGTGGGAAAGAAACGTAAACACGGAACGTACGATGCTGAGAGAAAGCAAGAAAGAGAGAGAGAGAGAGAGAGAGAGAGAGAGAGAGAGAGAGAGAGAGGGAATGAGCGAGAGAATGATCGATAGAGCGATTGTGTTACTTTACGTAATAATCTTATATATATACATAACGAATGCGAACATATCATAGGATTAAGCAGTAGAGGGAAAGAAAGTTAAAGTTCTTGTAATAAGGATAAAGTAACTTTTAAACGATCTGTCTTTGTAGTGGCGCGGATAGACAGAAACGAGGATACGAAGGTGGTGTGTGCCCTGCGTGCTAGATACGACGGCCAACTCGGCACGTAATTTGCCCAAGTGCCTTCCCGTTGGTCGAGTCATGCTGTAATTCGTACCGTGTATTATTCGTCTCGTCCCGATTTCAAACGTCGAACTCCCCCTTCTCCCGTAAATTCATATACACGTATTATACGTACACGCGCGTACAGTTCGAGAAAAAAGGAAAAAAGGAAAAAAAAGGAAAAAAAAATGGAAAAACAAGGAATAGTCGCAAGTCCTGAATTTATCCAGGAGACGCTTCTTCAAACTAAACTCTTAACTAATCCAAAGCTGTTCGAGCCTGCCTGATAGTTTTCTATCGCCTCGTCGTTTTCTACTTAGACCTTTTCCTCGAAGGACAGAGAGCTGCCGCATCGACGCGTGTTCCTCTGATTCATACTTCTGCTCGACGATCGTTCCGTTGAAAGAATCTACGCATAGACGGGAAAGAGCGCGAACGAGAAAGCGGAAATGGTGCATAAAATTCCATCGAGTTGCGCGAAAGGAAAAGCTATCCGAAAGACGGAAAGATAGGAGGCGAGAATGGTAAACGAGAAATTTCTTCAACGGTGATCGAAAAGAAAAAGAGTACTCCTCGTGTAGCGTGACAGAAAGAATCGCATATTTTTCTCGTAGATTCCTCGGATCTCCGCGTTATCTCTCGAGCGGCTTCTCGGGTCGATCGACAGCTTCCTTCTCAGAGTTCAGAGCCAATCCTCGTGCTGATAAATATGATCCTCGTCGAACAACCACTGGGCATTTATTATACGCATCCGCAATTAATAGTGGCGAGTGGTGATTAAGTGGTTAAGGGTATAATAGAGTGGTAGAGAGTGTTAACCGAACCGTATGTATGTTAAAGCCGAGAAATCGCGAAGAAAGCGAAGAGTCATCGACGGTGGCTCAAATCTCGCGCCGAGAGAACGACTAATTCCGTGATTCGCGTTCAAAAGACATTCGTCAGCGACGTGTAGCGGCCGTCGTAATTGCTCTCCTCCAAACGAGTACGCTCCTTTATTTTTCTATTTCCATGAGAACATGCGCCAGGAAGAAAAAAGAAAAACACGGAGGAGTGTGAATGCTAGGGTGTCGTGTACAGTTTCGTTCAATGTAACGATTGTATTCGCATCGAGACGCGAACTCGTTAGGGATGTCTTTCGAGCCGATCTCCTTGCGATCGAGCATGAATCGTTCGTTTGTTTGGAAGGATCGAAGCGTGAGTATTCGCTCCAAGTCTCGTTGCTCGACAAAGTTGCGCGTCATGAAAAGAAGGAGGAGCCGTATCGCAATTGCTTCTATTTAATTACGAAATTCTTGATAAGCTTAAACTTGGCAGATTAAATTAATTCCGTATCGATTTCTCGATTAACTTTCGTCTCGCTGTTCGTCCTTAACCCTTTCTAACGATTATACGATTTCTTTTCTAATTTTATATAATTTCGTCGCAAAATTTGTCACGATCGAATTGTCAGAGATGCGAGGGATCGATTCGTATAGATAATAACTGGATGTTCTTCATCGGAAGTAGCATAACTACTAGCATAACCGTGACGAATCTTCCGTTTTCACTTGGTTCTTAACGCAGAGCAGCAGTATCGTTTAAAGGTCCAGGCGTAACGAACCGCCGTCTTACCTTTCTATCCAGCTTTCTTGCCGTGAAACAAAAATCCGCCTGACCTGAAAGAGGAACTTGGCCAGCCCGTTTCCGGAGAACTGGACCGTCACGAAATTCAGAGCGAGACGAGGTGTCCCTTGATGCTGAAAACGGTAAACGCAGCTCGTCGAGCAACGAGATCGTTGGAAAGGAAGTATGCCAAATATCGCGGGGCTCGGTCAAAGCGAGACGGTTTTGGAAATCGGCCCGAAGCTTTTCGACGATGCCGCCAATTGCTTTAGATTCCAAGAATATGTCACCGTCGCTGAATCGAAGATGAGACGACAAACAGAGAGAAAGAGAGAGCGACAGACAGACAGACAGACAGACGGACAAACAGACAGACAAACGGAAGTAACACGAGGTTTCAGGGTTGTCACTCTTCTGATACATATCATTAGATCGTTAAGGGCTTGCCGAGCAGGTCGTTTAAGATAGATAATCGTGTTGGAAAGCGTTTACCGTCGTTCTTCGAGGAAAACCGGCAAGTGAAAAATGATTTTCGAAATGACAGCGGACAATTCCACTTGCTCGTGACGAATATATATTTTGATATCGTGGCTAAAATTATCGGAATAAAATTCGCTGACAAATAACGCGACTCGTCGCAAAGCAGAAAGCAAATAGTAGTTTCTATACGATCGATCGACTCTACGGGGAGAGTTAAGAGAGATACAGAGACACGGAAGGATACTTTCACGTGAGAGATCTCGTAGAAAGGTTTCACGAACGCTCGAAGAACGTTTAAAAATGAAAGGGCCGTTTTCGATACCGTTACGAGACGGCGGAGCAATTATCCCGGAAAGTAACTCACGTGAAATCGGGCAGAGATCGGTCATCGATCGATCGATCAGTGATCGGCTCGCGAACGGGCGCGACCCCGGTAAACGCTTTCCAGCTGTTCGTTAGTGTAAAAAAAGCAAAAAAAGAAAAAAAGAAAAAAGAAAAAACAAAAAAGTGTGTAAACCGCTTGAATCCGCGAACATGTCGATCCATGAACATATCACCGAATTTTTGACTCGTTAGAGAATCGTCGATATATATACATATATACATATACATATATTCACGATAGATGGTGACTGAATAATTTTTTTCCTGATAGTCGATATAGAAGAACGCGGAAAATTTTATCGAACTCCTCGGATCCTCTCTTAAGTGTGTCTTGGACTATATATAGGTATATATATATTTATTAAAAAAAATTGTTTTACATTAGTAGCGGGGAAGCGTGGTTTCGATGGAAGGAAATTAGTCAATTCGTCTGTGCAGCGTTCCCTTCTAAACGAGAGTCATCGCGATTTTAGAAAGAGAGAGAAAAGAGAGGGAGATAGAGAGAGAAAGAGAGAGAGTGAGAGAGATAAAAACAAAAGAGATACATGTGATCTTCGAAAACGACGGAAAGTATAGCCTAAGTTGTAAAATCCATGCGAGGCCTTACATTTGCGAATTCGGAGAGAGCGACGACGCAAAGAAAAGAGAGAAACAAAAAAAGGAAAAAGAAAAGAAACGGCGACAATTTATCCGTTCGTTTGTCCTTCATAAATTCATTTATCATTCTAATAAGAACGACAAGCATTAGGAAAAAGAAACGAAAAAGAAGGAAAGAGTGAGTGGCAAACATGGAACTGAAATGCAGTATTCCCGATTCCCAAAAAGTCTGTTCTACTACTTCTTCTAACTCTTCTTCTTCTTCTTTTTCTTCTTTTATTACTACTGTTGCTACTTCTTCTTCTTCTTCTTCTTCTTCTTCTTCTTCTTCTTCTTCTTTGGGGGAATCGTTCGTCGTCACCGATCCTTCTTTCGAGTCTTCATCGGAATCCATTAGATC